GGGTCAGTCTACGGGCTTTTGTGGAGACATGTGAACCCTCGGTAACTATGTGAGGCGGCGGGGCATTAGTGGCTGTTGGCAGAGTCGACGTAGGCCGGAAGAATTTAGGGAAACTCCTAAGTAGCGACTTGCCGACGGGTGCATTGGAAGTAGCGTATAACGGGCTCCATGATGCTATATCGCTGGATATTCCAGCGAGAGGAAGTTTAGTTGCCTTGTCGATGAACCGCTGCCGTTCAGCTTTGACCAGCAGGTCGAAATGCTGAAGAAAGTGTATTCCGATTATGGAGTTTTGGAAGAAAGCAACGTGGAATAACAGCCAGAATAGAAGTCACAAGTCAGGGTTAAGCGTGCGCTAACACTGACTGTGTGCGCGATTACTACTACCGAAGGCCGCGCGTAGAAACCCAACCAAATTTCCGGTTACGTTGTTCGCTTCACGATGAAGGAGGCTAATTTCTGCTCCAGTATCGACGAGAAAGCGATCTCTCGTTTGTCGATCGGTGACAAAATATAGACATATGTGTTGACGAGCTACGTCCTTCGACTGTACGTGCTGGTCGACACGTTTCCCTGCGTGTTGCATTTGAAGGAATATGTTGAATGGCAGGATCTAGGCTGTGGGCAAAATTTTTGATGAAACCAAGCGTTAGAAGATATTTGGCGTGGTGATATTGACAGGGCTTTGTATCTTGCTGAACACTAGCACATTAAAGATCAGCTTTGGCATCAATTCCCAGAAGTCGTGAAGTCTGTAAACTTCTTAGTGACTGCGGCAATTTGCGCTTTCATTTCCGTGATATTGTCCTTCGGCTTAGATCAAACGTGTGAAATCTGCCCATACGACTACGAAATTTGCTTCGCGATATCGGCCATTAACGGCCGTGTTGAGTCAGCTTTTGCATAGATAAATTTGTATATCTCACGCGGAAATGCGCGCAGACACATTTTCTTGAGAAATATGTGGGGTATTATAACTGGTTTAGCTAGAGTTTGCTTTCACGCAACAGCTGCGATTGCTTGAGGTTACCCAACTCCGTTTCGCAAAGAATATTTGTGTTACTGTGACGATCTGAAAGACCAGTTCTTTTGAGAACCGCTGCTTTAATTTCCTTGTACGTTTTTCTCTCTGCTGACAAAACGAGGATATTATCTTTTTCTTCAAAGACGTGCGGAGGAAGCGGGGATATGATGTGGATATATTTGATCCATTCAGCTATAATGACACGCAGTTCTATTAGTGCTTCTAAATGAGCAAACTAATGTTTTTGTCTGCTTTCACCAAGTGGTGGATTGTCCTTGGTTACAGTTTCGACCGGACTTTGAGGAACTTGGTAACACTTATCAATAGCGAAGGAGATACAAAGCAAACGACATAAAACCCCAACAGTGCATAAAAGGGGAAAATGATGGATGTACAACAGGGATTGACAAACTTAAAAAGAATATGTTTCAGAGCGTGTAGTAACTTTCCGGTTGGGATTGCCAGCTATAGCTGAATCAACCGTTCGCTACAAACTCAGCTTCCGCCGCCTCAAAGATACTGCGGAAAAATACGAATATGTAGGCAAGATGGACGTTTAGTGTAGAAACAATCCCGGTAGATAAAGGCACTGTAAATGGTTCTACTTAGGGGAATATATACTTATCGCCAGCCGAGAAACACGTACTCATCGTTCGAATAGCCCAGCTTGCTACATTGTGTATGTAACAATTAAACTTATATTTTTATAATATTTGACACATAGTACCCAGACAAACAGCGGAATCTCCATGATATTACAAAATATTTTAACTTGAACAGTCAGAGATATGCCAAGAACGCGAAATGAAATCGCATAGTTTCAGCATTCAAGTATTTGAAGCTATCATGTTTATATTGCTGCAAAGATTAAGTGATGCGTATTGGAAAAGGAATATCGTTGCCTTAATTAGATAAACTATTTTAGCCTTTACAGTCTCCAGCCAATTTTCTCCAATATCGTTCATTCTATAGCCTCTGCGTTAGATTAAAAATGTAAATCCGTACGGTTTCTCTTCCTGGGTTATTCGAATGACTTTGGAAGCCTGGATAGGTCAAAGTTGCTAAACCTGCTATCCGAAAAGAGGGTTCACGCTATGGTGTGCAATCTGTCGAGTGACTATTTTACAGATCGTACTCACTTCACCAAGTTGAACGGTAAGCAATCCTCTGTCCTCCGTGCCGACGGTGGTGTTCTACAGGGAGCGATCCTATAAACTATTTTATTCTCTTTGTATATTAAACATCTCCCTATACAAACCACGTTTATAGGGTGTAAGTATGCTGATGGTGTTGTGCTGGGATGTATGTCACTAATTAACTAGGATTCCTCATCACGTCAACGAGCTTCTAAATGCAGGTATGTAATATTGTCTTTTCTACGTTGCGATAGGTTGCAGTCCCTCATAGCTTTCTCCGCCACACTTACTGGGAATGAAAATCCCATACCAAACTCTTCCACCGTCAAGTATCTCAGAGTTCCTTGTCCCAGTTCCTTTCTTGTGCCGCGCACGTCTGTGAAAGTTTACAAAAAGTCAGAAAACTTTCTCTTCATGCCCACAGACTTAAGGTGCTTTCAGTACCTTGTACTTTCATATTCAGGTTTGTGACCTCTTGTATTATTCACCACTAGCTATACTGCTCTCCTGTCATTTTCCCTGGTCTGCTTCAGAAAGACTACCTCTTATTAGTGCGGTCTATAAAGCACCTTGCTAAATGCAACGACTTGTCTAGAGATTCTGTAGTTGCTTTGATCATTTCTAGACCTCATGCTTCCTGCAATGCTTATTCTTCTAAAGTACTAACTGAGCGATTTCATCCACTTCACAATGATATTCCTAAAACGCACTCTTTCTCTTTTACACGTATAAAATTCAAAATTTTATTCTTCCCCACTCATCGTATCGTAATACTGTTTTGTCTTATGTCTCACGTTTGCGTGTTGACCCAGCGAAAGTCACGAACATGCTGCGGGAGCGCTTCTAGTAGTGACAGTTCTGCTTTTTCCCCATTTTTCTACTCAAGCAGGTGTATCGATATTATAATCCAGGTGTCCGCAGTGATGGTGAAAATGCTGAAACCCATGCTTAACCCATTAGGTTACGTAAAGCTTATTTTGACTTGATCTGACTTGAACTAATTCCGCAGTTACGCACGAATCGATATACACAATGGGAGTTGACCCCGACAGGCTGTTTTCTTCAGTGGAGGCCAAAATAGCTTATGGGTCCGGTCGATGATTACGACTTCGGCAGCACAGATAGCGCTCTGTGTGGCAGAAATCACACGTATTGTAATCCTCAAATAAGTAATGTCAACCTTAAAGGGAAGCTCTAAGTAGTACTTTTCTGAGACCGTAGGTACCGCAGCTTTCATTTCACTGATTTGGCTGTGCTTCTGGAGAAATTTCCGAGGGTGACCATTAACAATTAGCGTGTTGGTAATTAGTTCTAGTTCATCGGCCTGACAATCGGTCGAAGATACGTATTTGTCTAGAGCGACTAAATAGAGTCTACACAAGCGTCCGCTTGTGCCGCATTGGCGTAAAGCTAATAAAATGCAGATACTGTCGTGACCACGTTATTTTTCGATAGGCAGACCATTTACCAGTCATTTCTCACTGCGGCTCTTGAGACCAAATGAATATGGAAGACAATTATTTTGTTTGACCGCAGGAAACCCTCATATTTATATGCGAGGTATTAAAACGCGTCATTAGCTTTGTGGTCTGCATTGCTTTTGTACACTTCACCAAGCTATCGTCTACACAATGTTTGTAATAGGGTACCTACGGTATTCCTTCGGATATGCTTCGTTCTATCTTCAGCATGAAATATCCGCTAGTATAGGACCCAATAAACTGTCATTAGCTACCCGTCAATTTGTCGACACCGTCTGTTACTGAAGTGGAGCTTGACATTCCCTGTGCATAGAAATAATGATTCTCTTAAGAATTCAACCGGTATCTGCAAAATACATAAGAAACATTCTGCTAATTTCCGGATGTAATCAATGGTCTGGTGAAGCGGCACGTTATTAAACTAGGATTACACATATGAAGAACACATCGCCTTATCTGACAACTCCTTTTATGGAAATGTTCGTCAAGCTCAAAGGTATCTTTTTGGCTACATAGATTCAACTGAGTCTTTACTAAAAGTAGTAGTAGTATTAAATGTACAGAATCTAAAATTTACCGGAACGATCACAGATAAACATTTAAAATTGCGGACAGCCGATTCCTGGTCAAGTTAGGGCAAACAATTTGTTGGTGCCTCCTGGCAACAGTGAGTAGCAAGAGATGTGTCAACTACAGGAAAGTAGAGCAGTTCGAGGTAGCCGGACCTAAGTTTATTGTACAGGCAAAAGCTTAGGGAGCGAAGCAACAGTGGCTACGAACTGTATAGTACGGGTCTCCGGAAATCAGGTTTTAAAGACGGAAGTGCCGTCAAGTAAGAGAAAGGATGTTGTGAAAGTTCCGAATAATAGCAAAATCCAATGTTATAAAATATTACAAGTAGGTGCTTTCACGTACACTACATATTTTACTTGTAAATAATTACTTACAGATAAATACAAATAAACTAAATGATATTCAGTCAACATAATGAATTTTGATCTGCCAATTTTTGTACATCCTGTTTAAGGTGTCACGTGGAATTATGCACCAATTTTTTGTCAGTTTATGTAACACTGAGTTTTGACACCCAAACTAATTAAAATTCATGCATTCTAAGAGTGGTGTCATTATCACGCGCTCTTATGGCATTTGCAGACTGATTACATTTAGGCCAATCAAGTAAAGCGGCTTATTACAGATGCATTGGTTGGCCGATTTTATTGCACTTCTTGTTTAAATGGTTAAGACCAAGCGAATTTATTAAACAATACCGGTGTACCTGCGAAATCTTAATTGAGATGTTGCCATGGATAGAGTAGGTTAATCAATATCATTTTCTAACTGCTGCTATTATTTTAGCTAATTTATTTACTATTAGCGGTAAATGTGGTTTTCAATCCTCTGGAAGTTGCTGGTTTCGATAACTGCTCCGAACCATTATCCAAAGTGATAGTCGAATGTCTGGAGGAATCAGTTTTTCTATGCGGCATTGGTAAGAGGAAAACGACATTAGCAGTTATTTTAGGCATTACTCGTAGCTTTTATGTTGGCCACCTTGATATGCTTTACCTGATATATTATATTTGCGCGCTTTTCTTTCAAGTTACCTGGTTAAGATTGGTAACATTACCGAAAGAATGTTGTTAATGCGCTGCTAAATTGGAGAATATTTGTGGTGCATCATGTACCATTTGTATACGTTTACGGCTTTTTTCTGAATAAACTGTTACCACTCATTTTATTAAAACGTTCTACGTGTCGCTTCGAGTAAACATAATGGACATAAGATTGAGATGTATACAAAAGTTAACTTATTCAGACTTGCCCCTTAAAAATAGATCAAGTTTATATTGTTTAAATATTTCATCTCAATATTGTACCTTTTAACAGTGTTACTAGCGCGATATAATTTTGACAACTAAAAAATTAAATCTTTCACCTTTTAACCAATCTCAGTTTAAGCTAAAGTGTACCCTTAGCAATCATTTAGTGCATCAAATCATCATTATTGTATGAGCGCCAGGATTCTTTTAAACATATGCTGGATATACAGGTTTATGTATAAAAGTTATAATCTCTTTCTTATTCTCATGCATCTTATTTACCCACTTTGAGTTCAAGGTCTTTACAGGCCTCACACGTTCTGCATTTATTTTTCTTGCGCACCAAGATTGTTTGAATTTACCTCATATTCAACTCGTAGAATTCAACACAATTTTCAGTGGCAGCGTGTGCTTTATATAGAAAACCATGCCCCATAGACCCTTGAAGCATAAAGCTCTTTGTCCAGATAAATGCTAAAAGTTCAATGCAAACACTGCTGAGTGTTTCTGTTTAGATATCGAAGTTATAACCATGTTGTACCTAAATTATAATGTATAGAAAACTAACAGAATTGCTATTGAGTTCAACCATTTTCCATATGTATAAACAAACATGCGTGTCATTATCTTACTAGAATTTGGAAGTACAATGGTACAACATGAAGATAAATGTATGAAGTACGGAAAGTGCCTGGATGCCTTGGTTTCGTGCAAGATAAAGAAGTTGGCTCCGCTTGTCTATTGCCGGCATGCGCAGTACATCCGGCAATACCTCATTAACCAAAAAAATTTACCTTTTGGTGGCCGCTGGCGCAATCCCTATCTTTGAGCACTAATGCCTATGTTTAAATGCTATTTGTTCAACATAATAAACTCTACAAAGCATTTTTGTTCTTGTGTCTTATGTAATTTTAATGTCAAAGTTATTTATTACATATAGCATTCCAGTAATCCCCATGACGTATGTCCCGATTACTTTGCAATTTCCCACCATGTAGCGTTGGTTTCTTAGTCTTTTTATCATTAAGTAAATATCATATATTTTAATCAAGCTGGCGTCCTAATATTCATGCGGTGAACAGTTCTACTAGACAAAATCACCGACTTGCCTCCGTTTTTTGCTAATGTTATTGGTCGATTAAACCTAATAAACTGAAGACAATTTACGTGAGGTTCTTACGCGACAAGTAGTAATGAATGCGTTAAATATAACCGCTTTGCTTTAAACCAAGAACTCAACTCAGACGACGCCTTAACTATATTTAAGCTTCAGAGTCAGCAGGCCTCTCACATCTTTAGCATTTTTGCTTAAGTTGCATCCCACTGCTTTTAAATATTGTTTTACTACGCGTGGTCAGACAGCTTCGCGCAGCAATGCAAAATATCGATGCGTTACATTATGCAAAATAGAAGAATATCGGAAGCCCACCAGGTTTTGGTTTAGTGGCCCCAAATAAGTTTACCCGATAGCTCTTAAGCTTTAATGAAACTACATGCAAACTGGTCTGGGTTAATCGATGAAACAAGTAAGCATGTGTCTCAAAGTTTTGACAAGACAAGCGTACACCAATTTAAAAAAGAATGACGCGCTAATGAAGAGTGAGGTTTATTGACGCGACCACAAGATATAACACCACTCACGCAGGCGTACAATAATGAGGCACTTTCACTTCCCATGACGCACTTTCACTCATGGCTTCTGCTCGAGACGCATCCATGCACTCTGGGGACCTAGTGGTGGAATATTCCCTGCCCATGTCACTTCGTATCCCCGCTTCTATGCGTCCCATTTCGTTCGGCTCGATGTTCTTTGATAGCTAATGATTTACTTGGCTTTACATGCATCAGTCTACTTGGGAGGCGGTCCGAAAGACTGTGAAAACGGTGCTTTTGTCTGATTTATTGTGCTCTCAACCAGTACACTTTCCGTTCTGTCTGGCTCAGACTCACTACCGGACGCCGCTCTTTACCCTATTCTAATTTCACCCGTCACTTCTGCTTTCTAACGGCACGCGGAGCATTGGAGTCTGTGTTTCACGGCTATCACTTCTATTAGTATGCTCATATTACCTCCGTTTTATGTGTCTGTTTTGCACCTCATGTTCGCATTTGCTTTACATTCTGGATGTTGCTGTATGAACCTACTTTCTTCCTTATCAATCTGTCCTCACCCGAAGCACGGCACAGCTTTTGCTCCCCTAACCCGTTTCACTCGATTCTGACCTCTTTCTGATTACGGAATTATGAGCGCTTAGGCGTCATTATTCCCATTACATAGTTATCGCAAATCTGTTCGCATTCACCCGTTACTCACCGATCGCTTGCATTTCCGGTTCCCCTTTTAGAGCTGCTTTATGAACTGGCGGCTCCATGCTTTCCGTCTAAATTCATTTTGACGTAGCTTTTTCTAAGCTACCACCTACTTTCAATGACTGGTATTATGGTAAATTTTGCCGTTAGGTCCTTATTTTTCTATGCTTCTCTCCAACAACCGTACCTTTTGCTAATTATGTAGACACGCTTAATTAAATCGGTCACCTGACCGTGCGCTTTGCGGTACCTTATTCCTAAACATTAGTTGCGTTGTGAGCGACACCGGAGACGTGAAGAAAAAACACACCTATTAATCATGTATACTAATGGAAGTCACGTAAGCTAAAGAATAATATATCGATAAGCGCCACTGTGTCGTTTGATAGTGCTTCTGATGCATTCTTGATTGTCTGTTGGTTTGGCTCTTGTTCGTTGCCCATTTTCTTGAGCTTTCTACACCAACATCAGGCCAACATATGTCGATTCATTCTCTGGTACTGGCGGCTCCCTTCCCAAAATCCAGCTAGCTAGAAGACTTGATTCTTTTACCTGAATATGAAGAATAATTCATCTTTTTGACGAATCCACTTATTATTTGCAATGGAGCCTTCTGTCTCCTTTCTGGAAAGATGCCACTTTTGAGGGGTCAAAAAGATGGGTTCAGCTAGACTTGCACACACAGTACCACAATGAACCCACCTAAAATAATATATTTACCCTGTCTATTTTTTCACAATGTAGGACCGATTGTATAGTCGTGCTGAATTCAAACTGTCACGAACAGGTTTACAAATTCGCACCGGCTTTCGAAAAATTGGGTTTTGTGCCTTTCACTGCTGCAAAAAATGCTGCTATCAGATTTACCCACATCTTTTCCAATGGCATTTCATGAGTCGTTTATTTACCATGGTTACAATTATACTTTATGATAACTGAAGTTTGAATGATTTCTGACCATGTTTTATGGAGGGAGTACATTTCACGTGACTCGGGTTCGACCTAATAATCCTAAGATACATAAACTTGGCATAAAAGGTTGAATGGGAACTTCCTCATACTCGCGCAATGAACGGGGAATGGCAATTTTGACTGAGGTGAACGAATTCAGCCACAACGGGCAACTGCTCTTACAACCTTCATCACAACTCTAGTGTACATACCTTGATACCAAGTCCGCACAACCCGGAGAGGTATACAACAGCAGAAGAAGCGAACCTCAATAACCTTGAACATTTTAATTTACTGCACAATTCTTCGCCTGATTCCACGAATGCTTTCAACTTCTACCGAACTACCGACTATTGTAGGATTCTTACTAAGCCATTCGGTCAGCGAACAGAGAAATTGGGGCGTCATTCCACTACAAATAACCGAGTGAAAAATCGGTTGGCGTAACATATGGTTACCTTGCATCACTGTTCAGAATGACCGTTGGCTGTATTACAGGACGTGTTAGATGTTCGCTTAGCAAGCGTTTTTCGTAAAAATGCAAAATGTCAGTTTAACAATGCAGTGGCCTGGCATATGTGACACAGCCCCGCATTTCATTCCAGCAAGTTGATTACAGTCACATTTCACTATAGTTATATGTACACTACATACACTTCCCTGTCTGTACACCCTGATTTCCCCACTAACCATGCTTTTAATGTTTTCCCACACTGCACACTCCTGATTCCACACTATTGTTACTTCCAAAAGGATTTTGTTCCTCAGTTTTGCATTTCCCATCACTGCAATTTCTATACATTTAACGAGCAGGCCAGTTAATGTAGCGCTACCTCATTTTTTGTACAATTTTGCTTATGCTTATAATGTTGCACTTCGACGGATTGGAAAATAACTAATTTGGTGTTATTTATTTTGACTTCAATGAAAAGCAATAAATGGACCAATCCATTGTAAACGTGGGTGCAAGATATGACGGAATGTGGCTAAAGTTTACACCAAGGAGAATTCAGGAAAATCGTTTGAAAATACCTTCAGCCTTTACATGATTCTTTGTGGTCAAAAGACGCAAATCTCTACTTACTGAAGGTGTAGTACCGTTGCTGTTGAACCCGGGGATCTACGTCTGCAAAAGATGCAAGAGACAAAGGACATGAGGCGACGCATTTAATGACAATGAATCCCACAATACATTCCATGGTTATTTATCGGTGTATGCTATACAGCTTATGTTCTTTTACTGAGAAAACATGGAAAAAGCTACGCATCTCTGTTGGTCGACTTAAAGCAGCATAACTAGAGGCGATGCAATTAAAGTATATGTACTTGTTGATGTAAATGTTAGGCATTGGTAAATGAAAAACTGTAGCACTGCGAAGTCTTTGCTCAGTGCGGAGCGTAACAACTGTTTTCTTTGGAAAACACTAGAATGGAGGATATGCACATATACGATATGAAAAGTACAACATAAGCAACGGCTTAGGGTAGCTTAAAGCGTTGATTATGGGCCCAGACCTGCAAGACTTGCTACAAACAATGAAGAGAGTGCGTTCGCGTCTTCAAGAAGCTGGATTCCGATTACGGGCTGAAAAAGGTGAGTTCCTATAAGAAGTTGTCAAATTTCTTGAGTTTATCATCGACAAACATGACCGGCGCCCGGATCCCGCCAATAATGAAGCCATCAAAAATGTGAAGCCACCAGAAGACATTGCAGAGCTCCGATTGTTTCTTGGGCTCGTTAGCTATTACGGTGCTTTCCTACTAAGCCTTCACCAAACCATAGGTCCACTGAACCAGATACTGACAAAAGACAAGGATTGGAAGTAGACGAAGGAGTGCCAACAGTCCTTTGATGCAGTCAAAGCAGCTATCACGTATGCTCTACTCTTGACTCACTGCGATCCGAATTTCAAAATTGTCGTTGCTACGGATACTTCCAAGTATGGTGTCGGTGCAATTATTCCCCACGTTTTTCCGCATGGAGAACGGAAGGCTATCGTGTACGCAGCACGGTCACTAACACCAGCTGCAAAGAACTACGGCCAGATAGAGAAGGAAGCACTCGCGATTGTTTTCGCCATGAAACGGTTCCATAAGATGCTGTATGGCACACATTTCACGCTCCTGACTGACCACAGGCCACTTCTGTCGATATTCGGGTCAAGGAAAGGAATTCCGGTTTTACGGCAAACCGACTGCAACGATGGAGGACCATACTGCTGGCCTACGACTTCAGTATACAGTATAAACCGACGCAACTAATCGGTCAATCGGATGCCCTGTCTCGTCTTATCAATTCACACCCAAAGGAGAACGATGGTTGTGTGATCGCACCTATCGGTTTCGAAGCAGAAGTCCAACCCATCCTGGCTGATAATGTGAGGAGACTACCAGTAACAGCCGACAATACTCGTATGGAGACATCACGGGACAGAATCTTGGAGAAAGCGATGCAGTATGTACGAACATGTTGGTCAAATGTAGGCATACCTATGGGGTTGCAGCAGTTTTACCATAGACGTGGATCCTTGTCAGTCGTGGATAATTGTCTGATGTTTGGAGATCGAGTGCTGGTGCCAAAGAAATTGTAGAGGCAAATATTGCAGCAGTTCC